CCTCGGACAGCGCCCGCGCTCGCCGCGTCCCTGCACCCTGCGCGCCCCGCCCTGCCAACCGGGGCTGCCCGCCGGGCCGTCTGGCCCTTTCCCCGCGAAAGGCTGGCTCCTTATCGCTCAAGTTCAATTCCCGGGGACGCGTGCGCCTCCTCCCCCGATCGCTTCTGCAGCCCTGGAAGCCGCTGAAGCCGGGGTCCCGGGCTGCGCGTCCCAGCGCCGGTCGCCAGTCCGGGTCGGTCGTCCGGTGCCGCGGCCCGGCGCCTTCCCTTCCTCCCTCCCTCCCTCCCTCGCTCCCTCCCGTTCTCTCTTTCCTGCTCTCCTTCCCCCTCCCTCTCTTGCCTCTTAAGTTTCCTGCACCGTGAACCCAACTGTGACGAGGCTGGGCTCCCGCGATCCGACACCGAGAGCGACCCCAGCGCTGGGACGCCGGCTCGGCCGAGGTGGACGAGGCACCTGGAACATCCGCGCCCGAGCATGGAGACGGAGCTCCGGGGAGGGCACGTCCGGGGCGCTGAAGACGCCAGGCCCGAGTAGCTCCTCCATGGAGCCTGCCCAGAGCGGTCCCTGCTTGCCAGATTCTCCTCCAGCCCTGTGGGGTACGTACCCTTCGGCTCCACTGTCCCCGGAAGGGACACCTTGGGGCAGGGTGGTCAGCACTTGGAAGGGGCCATAGCAGGGACACTGGCTGGGGTCAGAGCACGCCCAGCAGGCGACCCTCACCAGCCCAGGCGGGCTTCCGCTCCAGAAGTTAGCAACTGGCTGTGCTCCTTAGCTCCAAAAAAGTAGTGCTGGAAATTTGCTTGTGTGTATGCGTGTGTGTGTGTGTGTGTCTGTGTTCTTGGGGCTCCAGAGGGTAAACTGAGCCCCGCTTTCTTGTATGTAATTTGGATACCCCTTCCCCACCCCCACTTCACCGAACGTGTTGAGATGCCCAGCACCTAATCCTGGTCAGTTCTACCTGCCTTTCTCCCTCCATGCACCCCCTTGCCCAGCGCTCTCCCTCCCTCTCGCTCTCTTGCTCTGTCTCTCTCTGCTGGTGCGTACGTGTGAGCCCTGCCAGGGCTGGCGAGGAACCAGCCGCCGCCTTTCGTCCGAGCCGCCCAACGATCAGACACTAGGGCAGGTCTCGCTGCCAGAGACAGTTGGGCTGAGACCCAGGTTGCACGCGGCCCTGGGTGCCAAACGCCTCCAGTCTCTGCCGCCCAGGAACTCGCCGCCGACAGGCGCAGGGCGCGAGGAGCCCCTCACCCTTCTGCCAGCCCGCGTCTGGCCGCCTGCGGAACGCGCGCCCGCTGGTTCCAGGAGCTGGATTTACTCCTTTTTCAGTTTTTCGTATCCCTCTCCCAGGTTTTTCTGGTCCAGCCCTCCCATCCACGACCTTCTTCCCCCTCTTGGTCGCCAAGCCTAATCCTGCCCGCGTGGTCATGGGCTGTCTAATTTCATTTGTATCTAGGCTGCTGAGAGCGCTCCCCGCTCTGTAAAGTGGATGTCAGGTGGATCTATGTTTCTGAAGGAACAAAGACTCAGCGAAGGCACCGCCAAGGAAGTTTGAGACGCGGGAGGATGCAGGCTGCGTGCTGGTACCTGCTTCTCCTCCTGCAGCCCACCGTCTACTTGGTAAGTCGCGGCGGCTCGGGCGCCTCTGCACCTTCTCCCAGGCCAGGAGGCCCGGGACCTGGAGGCCCGGGGGAGGACAGCGAGGCTGTCCGTTCAGTGAGAGTAGCGTTCCTAGTGAGCGCTGCAACAACTTTGGGGAGATGGTCTGCTGGGTTCCTGAGGGATTTTCCAGGCTTCGACCTTCATATCGTGCTCCAGTTACCCCTCTTTGAGCGTGGATCTGAACAGTGGCTAGGGCACCCTAGGGGTCCAGAAACCAGAGGTAGTAGGATAGGGGATTTTTTTTGAGAGAGAAGGCAAAGAGAAGGGGTCCAAAGCTTTGAACTCTCAGTAGTTCATCCATAGAGTTTAAAGGAAAAGGAAGAGAGGGGGGTTGAGGGGTTGAAAGCAGGAATTCTGCCTAGGTTTGTGATTTTGCAAGTGAGCCTACCCACCCACTCCTCCAGATTGGAGACGCGGGACTTCAAGGAGTGCAGGGAACTTTCTTCGACTCACCGGGGTTCAGACAGGACAAGCTGAAGAGGAACAGTGTAAGCAAACAGAGTTAGTTGAGAGAGACTCTGCCAGCGCGCACCACTCCCTCTCCTCTCAGCCTCTCTTTCCCACCAAATAACTGAACCCCAGTTCCAGTGCCAAACCCCTTAGCAGCCTGGGCATCAGGGAGAGAACCCTCAACAAAGCTGAGGGCTTCCAGGATCAGAGTGTTTTATGTGACGGGGGTGTTGGACTTTGCAAACAAAGTGTTGGACCGGACTCCGTGGTGAAGTGCTTTGTCCTGGAGATCTGAGAGCTCAGGGAAGGAGAGGGGGTTTCTTGGGTCTGGGTTCTCAGAGCGCTGGGACACTGGCGTCTTGTGGTGAAATAATGCACAGTGTACTGCACCCCACAGTGGGCCTCACAAGTGCCCTGAGTGATGTGCTGCTCTGTCTAGGGGTCAGGAGCGTCCAGCTGCCTGAGGGCACCAGAGGGACTGGGTTGGGGGGTGATGCTCTTGTCCCTCAATACGAACTTTCAGAATCCACAAGCCTGGGAGCAATAGATTGCTATTTGCGCTTGACAGCGTTTCCCTGCCTTTGCCCTGGTGCATCTGACTGTAGGCTGCGAATTGCGTGAATACTGTGTGTGTGTGCGTGTGTGTGTGTGTGTGTGTGTGTGTGTGTGTGTGTGTGTTGTGCGCGCGCGCGCGTCCTCGAATATGTATATTTAACTGGTTTCAGCTTGAATCCAAGAATGCTCAATGTTGGCTGTCTTTGCGCCTTTGTGGTCTGACCGTAGCAGCGGCAGACGCCAGAGGGCGCTGCGCATCAGCGGCCTCGCTCGCAGGACACCTTGGGGTAAACAGGTGAAGGCCGGGGCAGCCAATCCAAAAGAACAGCCTTTCTCACTGTCGCCGAAGTCTCTGCCTTCCCTTTCTAGAACGTAGAAGGAACGCTCAGGCTTTTTCCCCTTTCGCATCTTCTGTCACTCTCGCCCCCACCTGTGTATCCAGTAAGCCCACTGACATTGAGAGCTCGAGTTGGAGAGCAGAAAGTTTGGCCAGGAGAAAAGCAGAGAAATTTTTTTGAGAAATGGAAGGGGAGAGTGCAACGTGAAAGCGACAGCGGAGGAATATTCACAATTCCCCTGACCCTTGTAACCGTCCGCACCACTCCTCTGCAGACCTTTTCCGTGACCTGAGCCTCGGACCGTTCTGGTGTCCTTGGGCTGTGCTTTCTCGCACGGCAAGGGCTCGCAGCTGTAGTGCAGTTTCTTGCTTGAATCAAGTCTTTCGATAGTCTGGAAAATAATCTATCAAAAGCAGAAGTGAAATCAATACGTTGTGTTAAATTTTAAATGTGTTTGTTGGCAGTTAAACCGTTTTCCACTCATTACGACAACAGTGCTGGATTTATTCTAATGCGCTGCGTTCTCAACAACAAGCGCATTAATTCTCCTTTAATTGTAAACTGGGAGCATTTGAAAACCATTCAGTGTGCAAATTATGCTGATTCAATTACCGTTTAGTTACAGACTTCATTACCTGAATGCCTTTTGGCAATACAGGGAAAGGAGACAATTTTTCCAATTTCACTCAAAACAATACGAAATGTGAACAATAAAATAGAGAAGGCGATTTAGAAGTCCATTCTTTTCTCTCCAGTCTAAAGTTGTTTTGTGTGTTGGGGATTTAGAAACCACACACATTGCAAAAACAAAGGCCGGTGGTCGTGACCCAAGGCAGCTTTTCCAGGGACTGCAATCCCAGGGTTGTTTGCCAGCAAAATTCCAAGGGGTTTTCCTGGAAAAGGGATCTGACTTTTACCATGCAAATGAATTTTAAAAGGCAAATCGAACAATCACAGGATGGTTTGGGGCAAGTAGAGTAGTAGAGCTTTGATTAAAATCTAGGGTAATGAACAGATCAAGAGGCGATCAAGGTTTCTTTCTTCATCTATTTCATTAAACACCAGATACAGTAGCATCATTTACTTGTAGCTGCACCTCAGGGCGTCCTAGTCCTTTGGAAAAACCTGCAGTAGATGTATACAGGTTGTCAGGAGCTGCTTCAAGTTATATTCCAAGAAGGCACCGGTGACAAAAACCTTTATTTTTTTCCCTTGAACTTCCATGAGCTAGGAAGGAATTTAATGAGTAATTTTTGGTCTTTCTGGTTGACACTACTAGTTAGATGGCTGGAGCATTCTATTTGTGCCTTGCCTCCCAGCTAATACCTACAGTGTCTTTTTCTTTATGCCATGGAATTCCAATTACCTCTTCCCATGAGTAATTACCACCTTATGTCCAGGGAGCAAGGCCTGGCTATATGTATCATATACAGAAATATTTATGTTCTTGCTAATAAAAATTACTCCCATATTTGGGAGGAACTTCTCATGAGCAACAACTCTCTATCCAGCGGATGAATGCTTTATGTTTAAGTTACAGATTCAGACCTGAATTTGGGTAAATGTTCTGAGTATGCTTCTTGGACCAGGATTCTGTGAATACTTGTTCTAGATTGAATGTTTGGGGTCTTTTTGTGTTCATTGAAAGATGGACTTGTCCTAGTGCATACTAGAAGCTTACTTTAGTATTATAATGGGAAATTAATTAGAAATGCTTCTGCAAAGGTGCCTTCTGAAGCACAGTAACTAGAATACTCAAATATCACCACAGGGCAAACTAGCCAGAAACCCATGGGCATCAGAGTGCATCCTTTTAAAATAAAGGTAAAGAAAATTTCAGTTTATTCAGTGTTATGTATTGCAGATTTAAATGTCTGAATTCAATAGGAGAGGAACCTATGGTTTGACTTGTTAAATTTGATAAAAACTCCTCCAGTCTTTATTTTTCTGTCAGTTCTGAACTAACTCCTGGATATTTTCAGTGTGATATAATGGGTAACAGGGCTATAGCATTTGTAGCAGAAAGGAAGCACTCTGGAAAAGCAAGAAAGTGTAGTCTCTCTCTTCTCTAAAAATAGGGCTGTGTGTCTTGAACTGTGTTGTGCTCAGTGAATCAAGTTAACATGCAAGCCAGGAAACAAGGCAAGTATATCCCAGCAATAAAAGAAAAAGAGTGGCATTCTGTTTAAGGGCTTTCTCCTGGTAATTCTCACACAGAGAATGGAGCCCAATGAGCAGTCCTTGCGCTTGCCAATGAAAAACTTACTCACAAATTGAGTCCAGAGCCTCTGACAAAGGACTGAATCATGTAACTGTGATCAGTCACACACCCACAGTGCTGCTATAAAGAGGAGAAGTCTTCCTATTTCTGCTAGGAATTAAAAGAGCTAATAATCTAGTTGCTTTTGTGACTAAATTCTCTCTAAGCCTTGTGCCACAATATTTAAGCCAGCTATTCCCTCAAATGTATGATACCCTTACAATGTGAATTATGTACCAATTGCTTAATTGAATTTAAAATGATTAATGTAGCCACAGGGCTACTGCTTCTGCACTGTGGGAAGGCAAAGCATTTGGGCAAGTTCCACTCATAAAAAAGATGGCAGTTAAGGAATATGGAGGTGAGGGAAAAAACAGGACAGAGATCACCACTTTGTTCTTTGGACTAGGCATGTGTAATTCCTTTTACTTGGAAATTAAGCCAGCTGATCAGTGAAAGTTTTAATCAATTCCAGTTCATTCTTAAAAATAAACTACATAAAATGAATTGGCTACTTAACAGTGTCTACTAAGTGCTTTCTATGAAGGCTGGCTGTTGGGGGCAGTCCTGAAATTTCCCTGTCCCACTGAATTTCCTATTCTTCTACCATAATCAGTCTTCCAGATACAGTATTAAATCTACTAGATTCTTGTAGGGGCCTAAGCACAGCGTGACAAGTCCTCAGTTCAGATTGATTTGTACTCCAGAACTCTGGGGGGAGGGAGGAGATGGGTCTACTATCTCAGCATTTTCCTGAAAGGTTCAACTCTCCACTGACCGGGAAAACAGCTCTCTGAGGTGTGAGGGAATCGCTTGGGTGGGTCACCCTTCTGCCCCATATCCACCAGTGTTATCTTGGTCTGGGGCCTTGCAGTGATAGCTTCAGAGAACTGGCCTGCAGTGTTAGGGGTGGAGAACCAGAATTGCTCCAGCTCTGTGAGCGGTATTTTCCCAGACAGCTATTAAATTCGTGCCTCCTCTTTGTGCAAAGTTGATTTCTATTTGGCTTTGAATTGTCGACGGCTATTTCCCCTTTAACGCAAGTGTTGTCTGGGTGAAAAAATATATCCGGTGGCAGGGAAATAGGTTGATTTTTTTGAGATAGGTGCACGATGTCCTACTTTTCTATCCGAAGGAAGATTTTCTGCAGACTACAGAAATTGACAGCATTGTCCGGGTAATAACCACCGTAGACAATATTTTCAAAAGGGCATTTGAGTGATGAAAGCATTTGGATATTGCTTTTTCAAATAAGCAATTTTCTCTCCTAGGCTGCTTAGATTTTATAGGGGGTGGGGAGTGGGATGGAGAACGGGCCTTACATTGACAAGGGGGTTCTTTCCCCATTCGCTCAG